GTTCTGACCACAGCTTTGCAACTCTCACACCCATGGGACCTCTGAGGGCCCTCCCCGTCCGGACACAGTGTGATCCTTGCTTCACACCATGTTCCCGCCCTCGGCAAATAGCAGCCAACTCCAACTGCTCATAAATTTCCTGCCTGTCACCCATGGCGCCCAGGCCCGGCGGGTGGGAGGCGCTGGGGTGGGCTGGTCTGTACCTGCTTCCAGTTCCCTGGGAAGTTTGGAGGCCGGAAGCCTAGGCCTGTGCTTGTGCCCAGAATAACCTCAACAGAGCCTGGCCCTTGGAGAAGATGTGAAGACAGATCTGCTAAATGCAAAGATGTAAAGATGTATGGGCTGAAATGTTAAAATACAAACTCTAGCTTACTGTGTGGCTTGCACAGCATAATTCCACTTCCATAAACTGTCTAGGTATGCTCAGGCGAAGGAGAAGTATGTGAAACAGTAGTCACCCAGTGATGTCAGTGATTTTCAACCTGTGGGGAGCTGAGGGGATTGCATTTTTTTTCTTTTATACACTCTTCTATATTTTTTTAATTTTTCTATAATTAATATATACTACCTATGCAATTAAAAAAATTGACAACCTTATTGATATTAGAGCTTACCCATTTAAAGTGCAGTATTCTTTAGTTTGCACAGATATATGCAATCATCACCACAGTCAATTTTAGAATATTTTCATCAGCCCAAGAAGAAACCCTGTACCCTTTGGCTATCACTTCCTTCTCTTAGTCCAGAGCTTCCCCCCAGCCCTAGGCCACTACTAATCTATCGTGGACAGTTCATGTGGATGTGATCATATCATATGTGGTCCTTTGTGACTGGCTGCTTTCACTAGCATGGTGTTTCTAAGGGTCATCCATGGTATAGCATGTGTCAGTATTTCATTCATTTTCATGGCTGAATACTATTCCAGCATATGGTTCTACTTTACTTTGGTTTCTATTTGTCAAATGATGAACATGACATGTAATTTATAAAACTGTTTATTTTTTTTAAATAATTGTAAGCAAATTAGTCTATATAATACTTGGTTCAGCGTGACTATTTCTGGTTATTTACTTGGAAACTTTTCATCCTATGATGACATTTTGTTTTCAGGCACCAATTAGACCCAACTTTTCATTTTTTTAAAGATTTGTTTTTATTTATTTGTGCATACAAGACCGGGGTGTAAGCCAGGGGTGTGGGGGGTAAGAGGATCCACCAGAGACAGAGTGGGGAGCAGAATAGGCAGATCCACTGAAATATACTGCTGAGGGGAGCAGTAGGTGAGACAGGAGAGGTCAGCTGCACCATGTGGGTTAGCTCCTTGGCTGGGGATCGAACTCAGGCCGCAGCGCTGCCGATAGCTTGATAGCACTGAGATTTAACACCTACCCCACCAGGGAGGCCCTAGACCTAGCCTTTTGGGGTCAGCATGTGAGCCAGCATCTTCAGGTGCTCCCACTATACACCAGGCCCTGTGGGGTGGGGGTGAGGGTGGTTCCATGTCTTATTCATTCTTTGTAATGGACCTAGATCGTGGATACTGGTACCGTGCACATATTAAAGATCAGGAGACTGAGACTTGGAGTGGTGAACCAGCCTACCTAGGGGCCCACAATCCACTGACTTTAGGGCCAAGATAAACCCCAGTGTTTACCATTCAGAACAGAACTTGAAATCCCTTTCTAGCCTATATATTTTAGTGTATTTAAAAGTGAAAGGTGAAATAGTGCCTCAAAGTGCCCACCCTGCTACCTTTCTGATTTTAGTTTTAAAATAATAGTTGAAATCTGACTGCTCTTCTTAAGACAAATCAATTAAATAAAAATATCAGGATTTCAATCCCATCGGTTGTCTTTTTCTACATGTAGAAGACTGTACCCAGTTGCTGAAATATAGAAAATGTATAATTTGAAAATAATGGAAAACAGCTAGGTAGGTGAAGTGAACATTACAGGCTAAATAAATTTAAAAGGTGAAATAACGGAGAAGGGGTGTGATGTGGTGTCACAGTGGAGAGGACTTGCTGGCCTTCTCCCCAATATTTGCAATTTTGTGTGTGCAGACACATGCACACACACACCACAGAAGGGATGGCCTCCCCAGTTTGTCTCCTATCAGCTACAGCTTATTGGTCTAAGGAAGAAATCTGACAGGCTGGCCTATTTGTCTGGCTGTGCTGGGATTTGGGGTTGGGATGCTGAGATTGGCCGGGTTGATAGGCAGGCAGGAAAGAAGCAGGTATTTGGAAGTGACCGAGTGCTGTTTTAGGCAGGCACCTTGAGGAAGGGCCACAGGTTGCTCCTACTAGGTTTGTAAACCCTTTGCTGCATTTCCTGAGACTTTCCCCTTGGCTTCTGTGAAATGCTGTTTCAAGTGCTTAAATAAGTTTCCCTTTACCAGAAGGTAGGAGTGGGCCGTTGCAGCCACGCTATTGAAGGCATTAGGAGAACACTGGGTAAATAAAGCCACACAAATTTACTTGTGCAACGACTTTCCAAGATGAGGCCAAGGCCTGTGGTGTTTGCCAAACTTACGGGATATGCCTCACCTGTTAGTGTTCTGCAGAGGACTCTTGAGTTAAGTGAGGTATAACCCCCTTGTGAAGAATTAAAGCTCAGAGGAAAGTGAGCTTCCCAAGGTCACACAGCTGATTAATTACAGAGAAGGTCCTGGCATGGAAGGCCTCCCAGTGTTCTTCCCAACACCCCCCAATTAAAATAAGTCTTTCTTGGGCCTCCCCGGTGGCACAGTGGTTGAGCACTGGGTTGCGAAGTTGCCTGTAGCCTCTGCAGCGCCGGTTCGATCCCCAGCCACCGGGTGGGGGTCCCACATGGCGCGCAGACCTCTCCTGCTGCCCGCTGCTCCTCTCAGCAGTGTACTTGGTCCGTCTGCCTGCTCTGCTCCCCACTCTGGCTCTGGTGAATTCTCTCACCCTCCTGAGCTTCTGACTGTACCCAGTGCTTGTATAAATAAATAAATAAATCTTTAAAATAAATAAATAAAATAAGTCTTTCTTGGACAAATGATGTTTGCGCTGGAATTCCTGGGCTGAGGACGGTGGTGGGAACTCAGGTCCAGTGTAGACACCGGGTAAGGGTGGGTCAAGAATTGAAGCTCAGGCCTTACCATAAAAGCCTTTGACCTCCCTTGCTCCTGGGTGGTAGCCATGACTTCTGCAGGGTCTGAGAAGCTATCTAGGGCTACAGGCTGGACCCAGGCTGTCCTGGCGCCTTTGCTAGGTAGCCACAGCACAGCTCCAGCCACCCCAGCCTTCCAGGCCTCCCTCCATGCTGTAGGCAAACTGAACAAAAAAGGAACTCCGGGAGTCCGGGTCCTCGGCAGGGCCCCCCCAGGCAGCCAGCGCCAGGATGACGCGGGCTGTAAATCACCCATGGACCACAGACCCAGTGCCATCCCCATGGGCTTCCTTTCCGCTTCTTAATCCTCCTCCTCAGACTTGGTAACAAAAAGCAGATTCCTGCTGGGGCCAGTCTCGCACCGCGGGCTCAGAGAATGTGAGCCTGGGTCTTACCACATCAAGATGCTCTTCCCTCTCACTTTTCCTTTTCCCCCTTCCTAGCCTCTATTAGCTGGAGAACACGCCTCCTCCTGGCCCAGTGCCTCGCCCTCCTTGGTCCCCACTTCCAGCCTTGCCCCAAGCTCGCACCATGGCTGCCGGCCAGTGAGGCCGCCCCAGGCCCACGAGGCTCACCAGGGCCTGTGGTTAGCTGGCCCTCCAGCCTCGTGGTTTGGCTCCAGCCTGGCTCCCCAAGCCTCCGTTTCAGCAGCAGCTGCCGCCGCCTCTGTGTGGTAGACTAAACAGCACCGATCTGGATTCAGATCCTGGTGCTGCCAACCTGCAGCGCTTCCTCACTGAGCCTGCGGTTGCTTCCCTCAGGTGAAGCCCGGAGAAAGGTCCCTGGCAGGTTGGAGGTGCCTCATGGGTATTTTGCTTCAGAAGCAAATACTGAGTGTGTGTTTAGGGTCATGGCAAGAATCAAAAGGGAAGTGTTTGGAACCTTTCCTAGGAGTGGGCTATACTGATTGGGGGCTACCCTTAGTCCCCCTCAAAGAGCCTCCCCACCAACTGATCTCCCCCCAGAGTGAATGCTCCCCCCCAGCTCCATGACCTTTCTCTCACTCCTGTCCTTTCCTGACAGCAAGTCATACCCTCTGGTGGCTTTTCTCATTAGCAACAACACCAAGTTCAACAGCCAGAGTGAAGATTCCAAAGGTCAAGACTCTGAGGAACTTAAAGATGGTCCAGCCTAGCAGTGGTCTAGCCCCTTAGCACCCTGGGACCTCCAGGTATCCCAGGCTCCATGTTGGAGAGAATGCAGGAGGACTCTGGGTTCACCTCTGTATATGCCCCCACCTGTACCCCACTGCTCCGGATAGACCAGAGCCATGATTATCTGTGCAGTGTTAGGGTTCCAGAGGTCACACTTCATTTCTACTGTTAAAAGAACATTTAAAAGTGATTGACCTGCTCCAGCTGTGTCATTTCATAGATGAGGACTCTGAGGCCCAGACAAGTTAAGTGATTTGTCTCAGGTTACCCAGCCAGCGGGTGGATGGGCTATGACTAGAGTTGGCCTCTTGGCTCCTGGCATAGTGCTCTTGTCTGAACAGTGCAGGGGGACGGGAGCCAGGCCTCAGAAGTGTGACCTGGGTCACTGTGGTATCAGTACCCGGTGTTCCTGAGCTTCCTCTGTCCCCTACAGCCCTACCCATTCCCCCAAACCAACAAAATCAGTAGTAGCTCTGAAAGGCAGTGGGTATTAAGCTTGGAAACAGCCAGTCCTGGGTCCAACGGCCAGCTCCATTGCTCCTCATATCCCTCAAGATTCAGTCCCCTGCCTGGGCCAGATGAGTCTCTACTAGGCAGCTGTGAGGGATGAGAGGAAGTGCCGGGGGTGCTGGCACCTGGTACAAGTGGTCTTCTGGAAACAAGTCAGGATGAGAAGGAGCTGCTTCTGATAGTTGGTTGTTTCTTTCAGGAGTGACCAGCCATAGGCTAGACCAAGGACGTTGCTGTGGGCCCTCATCCCAGTCAAGCCCAAGGAGCAGGTGAGCTTGTCAAGTCCAGCCTCATCTTATCCAGGATGCCAACAGACGCTCAGACCACCACTCTCAGGGTCTCAGGAGCACAGCTGCCTTCCTTTCATCCTCCTGTCTGCCACCAGCCACTCCTCGGCGACTTTGCACTTTGCTCTCTGCCTGGTTGGGAGGGGAGAGCTCAGTCTTCCCCTTGCACAGGGCCTGAGGTTCACCGTCCAGCTGTGGAAATTCATTGCCAAAGATTTGACAGAGACATTAAACAAAATGTGGTGATAAAACTCCACAACGAAAAGCCACACTATTACTCTATGACTTTCGCTCCTGTTACTGCCCGGGTCCCAACTCAAGCCAAAGTTGAATCAACAGTTTTACTAGAAACCATGGAAGGAGTGGACATTTGGTGACCATCGGAAACGCTTGATCCTCTGAGCCGGAACTCTTTTTCTACACTTGGGCTCTGTGCTGCCTGGGTGCAAGACAAGCCGCCTGAGGTCTGTGAGAGGGAGGCTGAGTGCTACAGGGAGTACAGTACGAAAGCCCAGTCCCCTTCTCTTCCTCCCACTGGCTGCCTATCCTCTGACTCTGATTGTCAATGTTCCCTGGGCCCGGGCTCCTTCTTGGGTCCGGAGAGTCATGCAAAGTGTGTAAGGAGTGAAAAGAAGCAATATTGACCACCCCTTACACACCATGGGGACTCGCCCCAAGGCAGCCTACCTAAGGGGCTTTGCTCCCCTGGTTGGTTCCAGTCAGCCCTTCCCCACTGGTGGCCCGCCCTCCTGCAGGGTGGTAAGATGGCACTGCTTGGAGGTCAGTGGCCTTTACACGTTGTACAGGAGGGCAGAGGAGAGAAAGGGCTCAGGGGAATGGGCCAGAATGTGTGGGAGGGGTTCAAAGCCAAGGCCTGCTTCTTCCTGTGCTCAAAAGGCCAAAACTGTTCACATCTGTGCTCAACCATCTGCTTCAAATTGAAGTAAAAGCCCTAACATGTAAAGAAAGCACTTACTTGTGTTGAGTGGACTCTGTGGGTGACCGGGGCTTTGGCCGGTCAGCTGGGGGGGCCTTGTAGGGGAGAAGAGAGGTTGGTCTCCGCTTAGAGTTGGGAATGCCTTCAGGAAATGGGCAGTGTGTGTGTGTGTGTGTGTGTGTGTGTGTGTGTGTGTGTGTGTGTAAGGGAAAGGGGAACCCTCTCCATGGCCTCAGCCTAGACTAGTGACCAGCAGGCCTGGTCAGGAACTCGTGGAGAGCCTTCTCTGTTCTATACCTCACTTAGTCCATACCAGTGATTACAAATGAGGAAACATGAGGCCCCAAAGAGACAGGCCAGTCAATGACAGAACCAGCTTTCAAGTCAGGATGACCTCATTCCAAATCTTGAGTTCTTTACCCCTTTGTGGCCCCTAAATCCAGTCCCATCCCAAAGTCTTCATGTGGTATTGTCACATCACTTCATCTAAGACAGAGACAGTGGAGACTCATTGGGGATGGGGAAGAGGGTATTAAGGTAAGGACTAGGAAGAGGCTGCCAGTGAGGAAGGGCTGTGTGGGAGGCCTAGGGCTGCCCAGGGATAGGGGAGGTGATGAGGGAAGAAGTCTAAGCCATTGCAGGATGCACGTCTGTAACTTGGTTTAGCCTGGTGTTGCCCTCTCTTATTTACTTCTCAGGCTCCTGAGCTAGAGCAGGAATATCTGTGGTGAAATTGGCTGTAGGGAACCTCTTCCTTCATGCTAGTATTTCCCAGGCATGGCCCTTTGCTAAGGACTGAGGTGGTAGGCTGATCCTGGTTCTGGGGCTGAAGCTGTCTCAGCATGCCTCATGGCAAAAATGCTCTAGAAGCAGGCAGAGAAAGTGGGCTTGGAATGGGGACAATTAGGAAGGAGACAGAAGTCGCCTGGGACTCCAAGCACATGTCAAAGCTCCAGTTGTCCCTCTGAGCCTCTGAGTAACCTTGATGACACTTCCTAGGGAAGCAGGAGCTGTGGGCCAACCAGCAACAAACAACACAAGAGGACCCTTTCTGTTACTAAAGGGTGGAGGGAGTCCCCCCATCCTGCAGCCCATGGGCCAGACACATGACTTACTGCCCAGAAACCACCTATGACCTCTACTCCCCAGCCCTCTCTTGTTCATGGCTTTCATTACATACTTCCTTGCATTCTGAAGTACCTGTTGGGCTTTGCCTGCATATCAGACACTAAGCTAGGTGTTGGGAATAGAGAAGATGGGTAGTTCCCACCTTCACAGAGCTCAAGGGTCTGTAAAGACAAGCAAATTAATTATGACACAGTTAGATGAATAGCATTTTGAGAGTCTTGGGGGAAAAAAGAAACATTAGCACTCTGGATGGTGTAAGGAAGGACTTTCCTAGAAAGGGGCCTTGTGAGATGGGTCTTGAAGGATGAGTAGAAGTTTTCTGTGCAGAAGAGTAAAAGTAGACTTTCTATGTGGAGAAATACTCAATTCTGGCAGGATGTTGGAATCACCCAAGGGGATTATTAAATATTGATATAAAATATTAACACCAAATTCCCATCTCCGGAGATTCTGATGTATTGGTTTGGTATTTCGGACCAATCCCTGGGCATTGGGGTTTTTAAAAGCTCCCTAGTTCTTTCTAATGTGCAAGTAAGTTTGAGAGCCACTGACTCATGTCTCTGACAAGAAAGTGATTTAGAATCACTGATATAGGGTACAGTCTGTGTGAGATATGTCACACACACACACACACAAACACACATACACACATCATTAAAAGTCCATGCTTTTCTTTTCCAGATTTGTCTCCAGTAGATCAGCTTGTATTTTGTGTGCACGTGCAAAGCCCCCCCATTTGCACACACTCTTTCAAGTGTGCACACACACTCATCCAAAAACACTTGCATACATTCCCAGGTAAGGGAAATCCATTTCAGAGAGATTCACATTTCATTGGTAGTCTTCCAAACTGTTCTGTAGAAGCAGTCACGCTTCAGACAGAAATCTTGAAGAGCCACCCTCATGGGCCTTGTGAGGCCATTTCCCAGCTGAGGGACTGTAGTCAGTCATCTATAGTTTTTTGGGGGGGACACCCTCCTTGCTTTGTTGTTTGCTCTGGGTCCTGGCCCCAATTGCCATTGATGGCTCATCAGCCACCAGTCACAGAGGACAAAGAGACCTTCTCAGGAAGCCCCCTAGGGGGCTTGTGTGCATGTCTGCATGGGAGGTGCAAGTATGTACATATTGGTCCCCGCAGACTAAACCACAAAGCATGGCGCTGGAGTCAGAGATCTTCCATCTCACAGGCAAGTCTTAAGAGACTCTCTGAACACCCTGCTGCACTGTGTCCTGGTTGCGGCCGACAGTCCCAGAAAAGATGTTTAAGTTCTGAGGAGTGGGCTCCACAAATCTTGGGGCCTCTTTCTGAGCTCACAGGTTGATCAAGGGCCCTATTGGATCCCTGCTCCCTGCACTGTACTCTCCCTGTGCCTTTGGTCACCACTGCATCCTGGGCCAGCCTCCTTTCCCTCCCTCCATCTCACCAAGGACCTCGTCCTATGTCCTGTTTCTTTTCTAGACCCCTCCCTCACCCATCTCCCCTTTCTCAGGAGCCAGTGAGGAACAAGAATGCATGGACAGTTCTTGGGACTGGGTGCTGGGCAGTGTAGCCTTGAGTAGGGACTGGGCTGGAGTTTTCAGAGTCCCCCAGGGTAAAGACATGGGTGCAGCAAGTCATGAAAACCCAGGCCTGTGCTATGCTTGGTCTGTCTGCTTGGGGGCTGGATCAGGGCCTGCCTTCACCCACCATGCTCCATGTTCCTGAGCTACTATGTGGTTGCCAGCTGCTTGGATGATAACAGCCTGGCCTTTTCAGAGCAAGACTCAGACATGTCCAAATGTTTCCTTCAGGTGGATTTATATTGCCATTCTCACTCTGAACTCTCGCTGCTACCCACTGTCACAGCTGATTTCTGTTTCCAGGCTCTAAGAAGACAAGGAGGTAGGGAGGGGGCCCTGCCCGGGTGGGGTGAGGGTAAGGCAGGAGGAGGGGAGAGCTGGCCTCACTCGTTGTCCCACAGGTTTTCACCTTCTCATGCGTCTCCCTTTGCCCCTGGGACCCAGACAAGCTATGTCTGCCTTCTTGAAGCCACATACCCCAAGGAACGTAGATTTATAAATAACTTTGTTTTACAGCTATTTGGACATATGTCTAATCTCTGGATGGCGCTATGAATTCCTAGAGGGCAAAGATTGAGTCTAATTCATCTCCAGATCCTCAAAAAGACTTGTGAAATGTATATATTGGTTTCTTTGTTGAATGGATGAATAAAAAATGGAAAATATGGTAATTCACCCATTAGTTTTCTTCCTTCCACAAATAACTACCAAAACAGCTAATTTGTTCAAGACCTTGACAGAATAGGACACAGACCTTTTCCAAGGTCTCAAAGGCTCAAAAGGAGACAGTCCAGAGTAGAGTGGAGCCTGGACTTGGGGCTTTTAGCTTTTCATGTGACCGAGCCTTTGAGAACTGAGGTCCTGCAAAGAGGGTGACTTCCTAGCTCGTGTACAGGGCTTGGCGCGGACTGGGTGCTGAATAAACATTCATTGAATGTTTGTAGATGAATAAATGAATGCTGGCACCTCCCCTCTTATAGCCCTGCCTTAGACATCACCAATCAATGGTGGCGCTTTTTCTCAAGGGTTAAAGCTGCCTAAGTTCCTGGCAGCGCTCCAGGCAGTCACTATTAATCAATTGAGAGATGTGGTCTCTGGTAGCCTGGCCTTTCTGAAGTCACAGATGGGAACACCCTCAGGTCAGCTTCCTGGGGCATGACCGGGATATATGACCAAGGATGGATCAGGAGGAGGTTATTCCTTAGGAGTCTGTGTGGCCATCTCCTGGCTAGTCTTCCTGTCTTTGATCTGTTCCCACTCACCTATTCTCCTCTATGATTGAAAAAGTTTTTTTCTCAAGTTTCTCCCTGAGCCCATCACCTCCAGCCAAAGTCCAGGCTTTTAGCTGCTCATCAGACCTGTCACAGATGGTTCTATCTCCTCAGTGTCCCCAATGCCTCCCCAGTGTCTGTGAAAATCAGTTTGGCTGTCTAGGGGCACTGGATGAATCCCACCCTGAGATGTTATCAGCCCCTCTTTCTCAGTCATGTCCTAGTTTCCTTTCCTCTGGTTGCTCACAAAATAAGATTTTTTTAAAGATTTATTTATGCATGCATGCAAGAGCTGCGGTGTAGGCCAGAGGTGCAGGGGCGGGGGGTTGAGAGATTCACCAGAGACAGAGTGGGGAGCAGAACAGGCAAATCCACTGAAATACACTGCTGAGGGGAGCAGTGGGCGAGACAAGAGAGGTCACCTCTTGTGGGTCACCTCCCTGGCGGGGGATTGAACTCATGCCACAGTGGCTGGCGATAGCTTGATAGTGCTGAGACTTAACCTGCTGCGCCACCAGGGAGGCCCCCAAATAAGACTTTTTCTGGACCCTTGTGTTTGTTGCCATGGAAACAGTTTATTAAAATCTAGTTTTCTTCTACCTTGAATCCAACAGGTCCCCCACCCCCTGTGCCATTCCCCGCCCCCTCCACACCTCCTTGTCCTCTCTGTCCCAGAATGTGGGAGCAGAGCTCTGCTGCTCCGAATGGCAATGGACTTGGTGCTCTCCCATCCTAAGGACTCGTCTTTCCAGAACACACGTGAAGGAAACGATCTCCATCTCCAACCCACCTTCAGGGGAAATCCAATATCCTTCCAGGCCTCTAAGGATTTTGGGGGGGCTTACATCCCAATGGCTTTCATCTCTTGGGTCTACCATATTCATTCTTTTTCTCTCTCAAAGGCCTCCTATGGATGACCCCTTGTCTTACTCTGCCTCAGGTGAAGGAACACAGCCATCTTTCCTCAATTTCCCTAAAACATTACTCACAGAAGCCAGTGTGTATAGAGGAATTACTTTTCTCTTTCTTAATGATTTTTTTTAATGTTTACACCCCCCCTCAAAAAACCAAACAAGACGTTGCCCTTTTCTTCCCAATTCATTTAGCTGATTTCATGTATTTCTGACAGGTTTGTCATGTTTCCAGCAGTTATAAATATTTTCCCCTCTGACTTCACTCCCTGACACTACATTTCTGGGCTGTGACTCACCCAAAGTTGTCCCACAGCTGGGGCTTGAGTCCAGTTTTTTTCCTTTAATCTAACATCACCCTACCCGAACTCAGATCACCACTGACCCCAGGTCTGAAAGAGAATATAAGATGCGGTGCCCGGTGAAAAGATCATGGGAAAATATAGCAACTGGTCCAGATGCTCAGCCACTCTCAGCTAAGCAGGTATCCAGGTTTGACTTCAGGGAGGAGACACCAAACAAGGGCAGGACCTGTCACATTCATCTCCCCAACCTCTCCAGTGGCTAAAGCTTGTCCAAAGGACTTGGACAGGGAGTACAGCTTGGATTAGGGGACAGGACAGTCTGCCCCCTCCCCCTAGAGGGAGGCAAATCCCTGAACTTCGCTCTGTGCCAAACCCATACCCCAAACCACCTTCAAGGCCATCTGGCCCACAGACTACATGCGCTCATCCTGGGATTTCATTTTAAGCTCCACAGACAAAAGTTTCTAGAGAATTTTCCTTTTGCACGCACACACATGCATGCAACACACACATGATTTTTTTTCTTAAGAACTCAAAATGCTTCCAAGTCCCAGGAAACAAAATTCCATTTTTGGAGAAGAAATTAGAAAAAATAAGCAAGTTTTTGGGTACACTTTGGGATCATTTCGCTGACCTTTATTGTTCAAATAAAAATTAGAGCAAGGGGCTTGACAAAGATTTTAGTGCCTCTTCAGATGGGAGAGACAGCCTAGGAAGTCCAATGTTATAATTTGTGGAATTACCCAAACTTATTTGGGCACTTATTCCTTAAAAAATTTATTATAATAATAATAATTATTTTTATTTTTTTATTATTTTAATCATTTTTACGTGTATCATCATCAACACCCAAAACTTTTTTTTTATCATACCCAACAAGAACTACCCATTAAACAATAACGTCTCCCTCCCACCCCCTCCTCCAGCCCCTGGTAGTTTTATTCTACTATTTGTCTCAATGAATTTGCCTGTCTCACATAAGTGGAGTCATACACTATTTCTTGCTGAAGTGGCCATATTTCTCCTCCTGAGGGATTATCGTTTGAGTCCATCTCTGTTGGGCTTATTTCACTTAGCACAATGTTTTCAAGATCCGTCCATGTGTGGCAAGTATCAGAACATCATTCCTGCGTATGGCTGTGTAGGGTTCGATTGTGCGTTTGCACTACATTTCATTTGTCCATTCATCTGTAGAATGGGGCACTTATTCTTTATTGCATGAACCCATCTTTCATGGGACACCAAGGGGGATTCCTTGCAACACAGTTGGGGGACTGCTGAAGTATGGAACCACTAGGATACTTAGATTTTAGGTAACTCAGGTTTCTCTTATCCACAAGGTTGTCCCAGACAGTACCAGAAGAGCTTGGGTCAGCTAAATTTCCAAACACAAGGCAGAGACTGAGAGGTGAAGCTGTGGGGGACGAGCCCTGGCAGGGCAGTTGGTGGCCAGCCCTGGGGAAAAGTAAAGGAGAGCCTCCTCTTCTAACCCTCACAGGCTGTGTGGCCCTGCTGTGCTCTGGGGACCCGCTGGGATGACTGACAGCTCAGTGTTGGTGACATCTGTCAGAGCTGCCTTCCCCGGCTTTGATGACAGGACTGGACAAGAGCCAAGTCAGAGGGGAGCAGTTGCCTGAGAGGCCCCGGCCCCTTTTTGGCAGCCTCACAGGTGCGCCCTGTCCTGCTCCTCTTGGACCCTGAACGGGTTGTTCTAAACCACTGCCCCTTCCTCCCCTTTGTAGCAGGCAGGCCTGATGCTGGGCAAGAATGGGATGAGGAGCAGGCCCTTTGGGCTCTGGCCCCCTTCCAAGGGCCTTCTCTTATTGCTCTCCCCTCCCCTAGGTAGAAGTTCTAAGGAAGGCAAGTGGGGGAATGTCCTGAGTCAAGCCTCCATGACTAGGAGAGAGTGGACACCTCTGAGAATCTGGAGGCCTGGGGTCCAGCGTCACCCGACATTCCACTCCGCGTGTGACCTCCCTGAAGCAGACAGTGGCCCTGTGCCCTGTGAGGCCCCTCACTGTCATTCCAGACCTGGGCCCCAAACTGCCTCCTCTTGCCTACACTCTGAGTTCAGGGCTCAGATTTCAACCCCATTCTTGCTGAAATGTCCATATTTCTCCTCCTGAGGGATTATCTTTTGAGTCAGAAAATTATTTGAAGGAGGAGCAAAGACCTTCCAGAGATTTTTTTTTTTAATATTTATTTATTTATGCACACAAAAATTGGGGTACAGGCCAGAGGTGGGTGGTGTGTGAGAGGATCCACCAGAGATAGAGTGGGGAGCAGAACAGGCAGATCTACTGAAATACACTGCTGAGGGCAGCAGCGGGTGAGACAGGAGAGGTCTGCTGTGCCATGTGGGTCACCTTCCTGGCCAGGGATGGAACCTGTGCTGCAGAAGCTGGTGATAGCTTCATGGTGCTGAGACTTTACCCCGGCACCACCAGGGAAGCCCAGACCTTCCAGAGATTTTAAAAGAAAAAGAAAAAAAGAACATCTTTAGACAAAATACAAATAAATGGTGTTCATTCTCCTGATCTGGGTACAGGTTATCTCCCCAGACCCCATTCCCCAGACCCCTGTCCTCTCTGAAAGGTCATTTAACCTTTGTCCAAACTTCATGCACCTTGGGCATCTCGAATACCCCCCTTTCCGCCTCATTGCTACTTGCTTCTCCATCCATCTCCTGGCTCCGCCCTGTGCTCCGAGAAGGCAGAGGATCTGGCAATGTCTCCCCAGTGTGCGGCAGTGCTCAGCACCCAGGCCTTGATGCACACCACAGTCAGCCTGGCTGGGAGCAGGCCTCAGGATTCTTTGTCCTGGCGAGGGGCTTTGGGGTGAGCCCAGAGGGTTCTGCCATCCCACTCGGGCCACAGGTTGTCTTGCAGAGCCGAGCAGTCACATGAAGGAGAAAAGTATTAAGTAAATGAGTGTTCTCAGTATGAAGTGAAACAGGAGTGGAGTCAGACAGTACACACAGAGAAGGGAACCGGGTGACAGCACGCTTCTCTAGCCTGAAGCTGTTCAGAGGATTAGAATGAAATCACCTCACTGCAGAACAAGGTGGGGGTGTTTGTTCCCCTAGGGGCTATCTGTACCTCCCTCCCAGGTCCTGATTTCCCTGAGACCTGCCTTGTCACTGAACTTTGTCTCCTTGTCTCACCAGGGCCAGGCTTATTCTCAGTTCCTCTACCTCCCATCTCCGAGCCAGGCCTCTCTCTGGTCTCCTTCCTCTGTAAGCACTCATTTTGCCTCTTATGCTTCCTGGTTCTTGCCCCCCCACCTCTCCAACCCCAGCCTGGTTTTCTCATTGTATGAGCTCAGGGGACAGTAGTATTTTCCAGGCACCCAGGTCCTCACAGGTGTCAGGGGCCCTGGCACTACTCCTCAGCCCTGCTACTCACTGGCTGTGTGACCCAC